CCACGCGGGTGTTCAGACCAATGATATCAATGTCGTCGGCATACGTAAGCAGCATTACACTTTTGTAGAATATTGTGCCAGTACGGTTTAAATCTGCTGCTCGAATTATCGTTTCCAACGTTAGGTTAAAGTAGTCACACGACAAGGAGTCACCCTGTCTGAAACCTGATTTGGTATCAAACGGCTCGGAGAGGTTCTTTCCAATTCTAACGGAGCTGGTGGTGTTGCTCAACGTCATTTTACATAGCCGTATAAGTTTTGCTGGGATACCAAATTCAGACATAGCGGCATAGAGTGTGCTTCTAGTCGTAGTGTCAAAAGCAGCTTTGAAGTCCACAAATAGGTGGTGTGTGTCGATTTGTTTTTCTTGAGTCTTCTCCAGGATTTGACGCATTGTGAATATCTGGTTTAGAGTGGATTTGCCAGGTCTGAAGCCACACTGATAAGGTCCAATCAGTTGGTTGACGATTGGCTTCAATCTTTCACAAAGTACGTTTGACAGAACCTTACCATATTTGTGATATTTAAAAGACTGATCCCGCGGTAGTTGGCGCAGTTTGCAGGATCACCTTTTTTGTGGATTGGGCAAAGCACACTTAAATTCCAATCGTTTGGCATTCATCCGACCAAATGTTGCGAATTAGCTGTAGCATGCATTTTGATAGCTCTTCGCCACCAGCTTTAAACAGCTCAGCCGGTAAACCATCGGCGCCTGCAGCTTTGTTGTTTTTGAGCCGCGTTATAGCTGTTTTAACTTCATTATGATCGGGAGGCGGGACGATTATTTCATCGTCAACGATTGAAAATTCGGGGTCATCTTCGCTTTCAGTCACATTGCTACTACCGCCATTTAGTAGTTTCGAGAAGTGATCCCTCCAAATATTAAGCATGCTTTGGACATCTATCACCAGATTACCGTTTTCATCTTTGCAGGAATTAGCTCCGGGTTTATAACCATTTGTCAGGCTTTTAATTTTTTAATAGAATTTTCGAGCCATATTCCTGTCGCCCAGCTTCTCAAGCTCTTCGTACTCACGTCTTTCTGTTTCCTTCTTTTTTCGCCTGAAAAGACGTTTCTCTTCCCTTCTCTTTTGCCGATATCGCTCTTTAACAGCGCGCGTCGCAACTGACCGCAGGGTGGCTTGATATGCTGCGTCTTTCTCTGCGGTAGCATTGCGACACTCTTGGTCGTACCAGCTGTTCTTTGTATACGGTGATAGCCGATCACCTCTTCTGCAGCGGTACGCATAGAGTTAGAGATGTGGTTCCATTGCGCGCATATATCGGCTTCTTCAGATGAGTTTTCCAGATATTGGGAGAGTCGAGTAGCGAAGTCATAAGCTGTCTGTTGTGATTGCAGCTTTTCGACGTCTAGCTTTCGCTGTGCTTGTTCACGTACCTTTTTCATCGCACATAAACGTGTGCGGATCTTGGCTGCAACAAGGTAATGATCCGAGTCGATGTTGGCTCCACGGATAGTACGTACATCCAAGACACTGGAAGCATGCCTTCCGTCTATCACAACGTGATCAATTTGAGATCTTGTGTTTTAATCAGGTGACAGCCATGTTGCCTTATGTATGTTGAGATGCTGGAATCTGGTACTACTAACCACCATGTTTCTAGCCGCGGCGAAATCAATCAGCCTTCTTCCATTATCAGAAGTTTTCGTGTGAAGGCTGAACTTTCCGACAGTAGCACCAAAGATACCTTCTTTACCCACCTTTGCGTTGAAGTCTCCAACAACTATTTTGATGTCATGATGGGGACTGCGTTCATATGCTTGTTCAAGTTGTTCATAGAAAATTTCCTTGGTGTCGTCATCTTTATCTTCCGTCGGGGCGTGCGCACATATTAGAGTGATAAAGAAAAATTTTGCCTTAATCCGGATTTTTGCGAGCCTTTCGTTTATTGGTGTAAACGTTGAGACCAAATTTCTCAGCTTTTGGCCTACCGCAAATCCGACTCCAAACTCGTGCTTTGTTGCATGGCAGCTGTAGTAGATGTCACAATGATCTCGTTTAGAGCATCCTTGTCCCGTCCATCGCGTTTCCTGGAGAGCGGTAATGTCAACCTTATATTCCTTGAGGACATTAACCAGCTGTATAGATGCACCTTCTCTGTAAAGAGTTCGGACATTCCAGGTGCATATTTTTAAATCGTGTTCCTTAATATGTTTGCGTTTGTCGTCATCAGTAGATCGTTTCCTTATCCGAGGCTGCCTCTTCGTTTGCATTGAAAGGATTTTTTTAAATGGTGGGTTCCAAGCCCGACGCAAAACCTCATATATCCCTGAGGTGGATTTCGCTGCACACATTAGTTCACTACGCACGGATGATTGTAGCTATCCAGAGGGGCCACGTGGAGGCTGTGTGTCAACTTGGAGAGAACAGTGACAAGGATCGCGCTGGCATTTACCATGTTAAATGCAATCAGACACTTTACCTTGTATGTTCAATCCCATCCCCCCAACCGGCAATCACTATCGGCTTCATATTTTTAGCGTCGCTAACAATATTGTCCAGTCTTTGTTTGTATTCTTCGATTGATAGACTGGGGGGTAAATAACAGCTGAAAAACGTTATTCCATTCACTGTACTTGTTACGTATGCTTCCCCTCCGTCGTAGACCTTCTCTAGTGGAAATTTACCACATGTCATATGGATGCCTTGTTGCACTTGCTGGTAGCCCAGCAGTGATTGTCTAGTGTACTATAATGTTCGCTCATTATAGCTAGATCTATTCTTAATTCGCGTACAGTCTGCTTTAACAGATCCTGTGCCGCTTCACAGTGGTTTAAGTTCAGCTGTAAAACTTTCATCTTTTTTTATTTAGTATCCTCCGGCGGGCAGTCAAGTAGTGGGGACATTTAGGTTCTCCCGCAATATGGTTAGCGTCAATATTTGTGTCAGTTCTACAAAGTAGCACAAATGTGTGTGCACGAATCTGTGTGCACATTCATCGCTTTGTGCGATGTGAAATTTGAAATCTCACAACAAATTTAAGTGCGTGCATTTTTTTTCTTAACACCACAAATGTGCGTGTGCATATTTTAAAAATAATTTCCACTCGCACAGTGCAGTGTGCGATTTTGTGCACCACATTCCGAACTCTGGTAGAAACCCTTTAATTATAAGCTACGCTACTTTTATTTATTTTAATTTAAATAAATATTTTTAATAATACAAAATAAAATTGTTATTCTTTATGAGTTCATTTTTATTTATTTGTATTTAAATAAATATTTTTAATAATACAAAATAAAACTGTTATTCTTTATGAGTTCATTTTTATTTATTTGTATTTAAATAAATATTTTTAATAATACAAAATAAAACTGTTATTTTTTATGAGTTCATTTTTATTTATTTGTATTTAAATAAATATTTCTTATTACTTAGAAAAACTGCACCGCTCTTGTTGCTTGTCTAAACAGAACTCAACTCATTTTATTCTTAAAATTAAAATACAATGAATTGGTATGTTCAATCCATGTCATCAGATTTTGGCTGATCATTTACACAAAGAGAGCCTAAATAAAGAGAATTTTTAGTTTTTATATAACTTCTCCCCCATTAGACTAATGATACTCCCGGACCATTATACATAATTGAACATTTACGAGAGAAATGTTTTTAATACATTTTTACTGTTTTCAGTTTCTATCTTATTTGTTGTTACTTTGATTTTTGAGATTTCTTTTTTTTTTGTGTCTTTACAATTTCACATGAATTTTGTGTTCTGGAAGGAAAACATCAAAATCTCAAATGAAAGATATTTTGTTAATTTAATAAAAAGAAAAGTTTATTAAAATAATAATTTAATAATATATTATAATTTATAAACATTATATATTTATATATTTATTACATATTTAACAAAAAAAATTTAATTGGATTCACTGTAGACGTGAAATGTCGTGAAAATTCGGCGAATTTTAATTTCAGAACTATGCATTCTATGCCAGTATTCTTACTAACTTCCTAAAAACAGGTGTTTCCCACTATTTTACTACGAGCAAAATTCGGCGAATTTTAATTTCAGAACTATGCATTCTATGCCAGTATTCTTACTAACTTCCTAAAAACAGGTGTTTCCCACGATTTTACTACGAGCAAAATTCGGCGAATTTTAATTTCAGAACTATGCATTCTATGCCAGTATTCTTACTAACTTCCTAAAATCAGGTGTTTCCCACGATTTTACTACGAGCAAAATTCGGCGAATTTTAATTTCAGAGCTATGCATTCTATGCCAGTATTCTTACTAATTTCCTAAAATCAGGTGTTTCCCACGATTTTACTACGAGCAAAATTCGGCGAATTTTAATTTCAGAACTACGCATTCTATGCCAGTATTCTTACTAACTTCCTAAAATAAGGAAGATTTTACTACGAGCAAAATTCGGCGAATTTTAATTTCAAAACTAGGCATTCTATGCCAGTATTCTTACTAATTTCCTAAAATCAGGTGTTTCCCAAGATTTTAATATGAGCAAAATGCGTATATTTGTTAAATTTAAATGCAACGTGAGAATCGTTTTTTCAAATGGTACTTTGTTTACTTCAAAAATATTTTTTGCTGTTACCTGCAATGGAATGAATTTTATATAAAAGGAAACCAAATTATAGTTTCGATCTATTTGAAACGTAGTCTCAGTGGTGGTTGCAGCAAACTTCTTCGAAACATTTGTTTTTACTAAAATTTATTATTTTAAAAATGAATGATGAAATTGAGTTGCTTTATAACACGCAAAACCTCAGTGATGAGTTCGACCCCTCATTTTATAATCGCCTAGCAGCAGCTTTAGCTAACGATATGGAATTAGAGGAAGCTATAGAGGAGCATGAAGAAGTAGATCAGTTTCCCAATGATGAAGCAGATAATGATTCAGATTTCATACCAAATGAGGACGATGCATCTGATATTGAAGACGTATTAATTATCGAACTAAATGAACTGAATTGAATGCTGGTGTTCGCATACGACAACACAATATTATGCCCTTCCGAACAGGACCTAAAGAAAAAAACTCCATTCCACTTGAGGTATTTAAGAAATTTTTCACATCAAACATTATCCAAGTCATTATTACCGAAACGAATCGTTATGGAAGAGATTTAGTTAATAAATGGAAGGTGGATAATCCCAATAAAGTACAAAAAGTTTGGAGTGATGTTACTGAAGCTGAGATAGATGCATTTATAGCGATACTATTGGCGGCTGGTGTTTCCCACAATAACAAGCAAAAGTCCAGCGTTTTGTGGCATACAGACGGTTTGCCCATATTTAGAGCGGCTATGTCTTTTAAGCGTTTTCGAATAATAACACGATTTATTCGGTTCGACAATGGAAGGACACGCGAGTTTCGTTTGGAAAGTGATAGAGCTGCGCCAATTCGTGACATATGGAATTTTCTTAATGACAATCTTGCCAAGAATTACAGCCCGCATGAAAACATCACAATTGATGAGCAACTGTTCCCCTATCGTGGCAAAACAAAATTCACGCAATATATACCATCGAAACCAGCCAAATATGGTATTAAAATTTGGTGGGCCTGTGATTCTAAAACAAAATACCCTTTATAGGGAAAATTGTATACAGGCCGGGAAGTCGGAGCTACACGTGAAATAAATCAAGGCGAAAATGTTATGCTACAACTCTCAAAAGCATACACAAATAGCGGCCGTACCATCATCGCAGACAACTACTTTACAACATTGGCAGGAGTTAAACGTTTGGCTCAAATTGGTTTAGCATTCGTTGGAGCTATTCGTTCCAATAAGAGATGTATACCAGATGAAATGAAAAGGAATCCTCAACGTGCAGTTTTATCAAGCTGCTTCGGATTTCACGAAGACTTGGTTTCAATTTGCAGCTATGTGCCAAAAAAGAACAAGTGTGTCAATTTACTTTCTACAGTACACTACACCAAAACTTGTGAAGGAGCAGCTATGAAGCCTGAAGCAATTTTGTATTATAATGCGAATAAAGCAGGCGTTGATTGCATGGATCAAATGATGTCTCATTTTACGACCAAACGTCAAACGAGAAGATGGACTTTAGCTTTTTTCTGCAATATGATAAATGTTGCAGCATTGGCTGCATTTTGCATGCTTTGTTGATGGAAATAAAAAATTGGATGCCAGACGGAATTTCCTAGTCACGCTATCAAATACCTTGGCCCTTCCAAATATTCAAAGGCGAATGCAAAATGTCTACATCACCAAACAGTTCATCACACGTTCGGCCATGGAATCGTTTTTCGGTAAACAATTACATTTTACACCTCAAGTAGTGACTGGCGTTAGTGGGGCAGATACCCTCGAGAAGAAGAAAAATTGCAACATTTGTTCAAAAGGTGAAAAACTATCCCGAAAAACCCGTTTCTTTTGCATCAAATGTTCAAATCCAGTTTGTCAACAACATTCTAAAGTTGAATATATATGTTTTAATTGTTGAAATAATAGCTAAATAAATGTATATTAGTTTTTGTTTAATTTATATTATTTATTTTAATAAAATAATAAAATGTTACTTCATACAAATGTCACTTTTTTTATTTTTTCGATATTTTTATTAGCAAAAATGTAATAAAATATGAAAATTAATAAAAATCCAAGCTAAAAACAATTTAAAATATATAAATACATCGCATATTAATGCAATACCTCTGTTATGATCTATATCTAGTCTGATACAGATTTTAGCTAATCCGGCACTTGAACCAGCTTAGCTTTACTCTTTATGTTATCCTCCGTACCTAGTCTGATACGGATTCACTAATCCGGCACTTTAACCAGCTTAGTAATTCATTTACGCAATCCGGCACATGAACCAGTTACGTAATTTATAAATGGCTATATATATATGTGAATATATATATATAGGTATTTATTTATTTAATTTATTATTTATTGATTTTCAAATTCGGCACATAAACCGACTTTGCTCAAGGTTCTTTTAGGCACTTAAACCAAAAGAAAACACTTGGTTGAATTCAGGGTTTGAAATTGAATTAGATGTTTATTAAAAATGTTGTGCTTTTATACAAAATTCTTACCACTAAGCTTATTGTGAAGGAGGAAATGCACCTAGTTCCCACGATTTGTTATCCGATGGACTTTGAACATTCAAGGTCAAGGGCATTCGTGGGAAATATGTGCATTACCTATGTTTATACTATTTAATGCAACCAGCAAGCTGATATACGTATTTTGCCATATATCAACCTGCTTCACAAATTTGGTGACTTAAATCTGTTATCACTGAAGCCATGCGCCAACTCATATTGCACCTGTGGGAACAACAGAATTGTCGCAGCGGCTTGCCTATTGCTGCAACTCACAACGAACACACGATAAAAGAAAATGAACATAATGCTTATCAACCTTGCACAGTGGCGTGTGAAGATGATCATGTTACGTCTGGCACGCTGCTAGCGTGCGAATATTTAGTTGTGAGAGCCAGCAACATTGCTAAAAATATTTGATAACACAAATAAAACCAACAACAAAAACAACATAAGAAGCTAATTTAAAGTACTTATGTATACATATAATTAATATAATAATAATAATGCAATTACAATAATTGATACAATTGATTTTTATAATAAAGTTAATATAAAACTTAACAACCTCATTAAAGTACTCAGTATTTACGTACAAATGCATGAAAACGCATAAGGGTCTGGCCAGACCCATGAGTACCGTACGTGACTATCGAAACATGTGCCCATCGGAGTGTTAATCAATTCAAAATTTTCTGTATGGTTTTGAACTTTCTTCGGCGTAGTTTTAATTGTATTATGATATCTATCATTATAACTGTTTACAGCTAACTGCAGGATTCTTCTAGGATTAAGATCTGTATGTTCACTTCTAATTATTCTAAACTTTTCTGCTATCGAATTATGAAATCGTTCTACGTCTGCTTTCCCGTGTGGCTATTTGGTTTTGTCAAATGGATTTCAATATCTTCTTTTCTTAAGAATTCTATAATTTGTAAGGCGTTAAATTCGTTATCGGCAATAACCTTTTTAGGTTTTCCTATTCTAACAAAATGTTCTTCTAGGATTTCAACTAGTGTACCTGAATTTCTATCTATCAGATAATATGCATAGCCAAATCTAGAAAATTTATCGAGAATTGTTAAAAAATTATTTTTCATTATTGTGTACGTATCAATGTGAATAATATCGTTAATGGTATCTGGCGTCTGGGTTATTTTAAATTTGTCCTTAATCGGATTTCTATCATATTTTACTCTTTGACAGGTTTCACAATTGTTAATAATTCTGACTATAATTTCGAATAGTTTGGGAAAATAGATTTTATCTTTTAGATTCTGATACGTTTCCTAAATTCCTGAATGTTGACTTTCTCTGGTATGATATATTGACACTTGTTTTATAGCTTCATCTTCATTGGCTATATCTAAGGCTCTTTTTGTACATTTCACGAACTGAATTTGTTTGGCATCGGAGTACAGATCAATCATTTTGTTCTGTAATATATTGTACTTAGAGTCACTTAATAATGAGTGTATACCAATTTTACCACTTTTAACATATTTTTTCAATATCATTTCCGAATTGCTTAATTCGTACTCACTTATGTATACTATTGTTTTCTTATATTTAATCTCACTTTCTCGTATTTTGTCATTAGTAAGTGTAATTTGGATTTTATATTTATTTACAATTTCATCCTTAATTCCGATATGGTGGTTTAAATTTTCCTCCGCTGAATGAATGATTCCTATCGTATTCGCGTTGTTTTCTAAGCTAGCTACATCTTCTTTTATGTTATTAAAGTAAACTGTCTCCGTTTCAACTTTATCTTCTTGACATTCAGATATCCTATTTTCAACTCTAGACAAAAAATCTGCTACTTTATTTTGCTTGCCTTTGATGTAATCTATCTCATAATCATATTCTCCTAGTTTCAATAACCATCTTTGATTTCTTGGTGATACATCTCTGCCTTTATATTTAATTAATAAATAATTAATAGGGAGATGATGGGTAAATATCTTAAACTTCCTACCATACAAATAGGGCTTAAAATACGTCACTGACCAAACTATGGCTAAAAACTCCTTATCTGTTGCCGAATATTTTTTTTCATGTTTATTTAATGTACGTGATGCATAGCATACTGGATGTCCGCTTTGCTATAATACTGCTCCCACGGCGTAATTTGATGCATCTGTTGTCAAGGTAAATGTTTTGCTAAAATCTGGGAATTTCAAAACTGGATGTTTGCTTATAATTTCTTTCAACTTCTCAAATGCATTTATGTAATTGGAATCATTTTTATTAATTTCCGCTTCTTTCTTTAAATATTTTGTAATAGGCTGTGCTATTTTAGCATAATTCTTTATAAATTTTCGATAGAATCCTGTTAAACCTAAAAAACTTTTAATTTGTTTAGTGGTAGTAGGAATTTTTAATTTTTGTATAACTTCGACTTTATTAGAATTTGGCTTTAACCCGTCTTCGGTTATTACATGACCTAAGAACTCAGTCTGTTTCTTCATAAAATTACATTTGTCTACCTGAATTTTTAATTTATGTCTTCGTAATATTCTAAATATGTCTTCAATATTTTTAATATGCTCTTGTAACGATGTACTAAATACCAATATATCATCTAGATATACTACGCAAGTTTTATTTATGTAGTCCCGTAAAATATCGTTCATTAAACGCTGGAAAGTAGCTGGGGCATTTTTTAATCCTAATGGCATCCTAATATATTCATATAAGCCAAAAGGTGTTACGAATGCTGTTTTTGATCTGTCTTTTTCTTTAACCAGTATCTGATGATATCCTTTAGCTAGATCAATGGTTGTGAAATACTGAGCATTACCTAGTTTTCCTAGTATGTTTTCTATATTTGGCAATGGATATTTATCATCTAGAGTTATTGCATTCAGTTTTCGATAATCTACTACAATTCTATATTTTATTATTTCTGAATTATCTATTTTTTTTGGAATCACTATAATTGGACTCGAATATCTTGAACAACTTTTTCTAGCTATTCCTTGCCCTACCATTTCTTCTATTTGTCTTTTAACTTCTATTTCATGTTGAGGTGGGTATCTATATAGTTTTGCATTTATTTGTTGCTCTGTACTAGTTTTTATTTCATGTTCTATACTTGGCGTTGAAGTCAGCGTTTCCCCTTCTTTAAAAAATAATTCTGAATACCTTCTTATTAAAACATTTATAGCTTGTGCTTCTTCTTTATTTAAATGTTTCGTTTCTATTTTATTTAGTGGATCTGGTACTGCTTCTAACACTTCTGCTACTGGTTGTGAATATGCTTCAAATGAAATTAACTGATTATTTATCATTATACTACCTTTTTCTAAATCTATTTTAGATTTTAATGCATGTAAAATATCTTTACCAATGATAAAACTATAAGTCTAGCCTGCTGGAAATGGTACGGCCTTCCATCTAATTCTTCCCATATCACTCATTTTAAACTCATTAGTTATGGCTGTATGAATTTCTTGATTGAATATTGCTGTATTGTTTATTGTTGAATATTTTATAGTTGATATAGTTATTTTTGGAAACTCATTTAATTTAGAATCTACTAAACTCACTCCCAGTGCACCTGTATCCCAGTGCAATGCATTATATGAACTTTTTTGAAACGTTATTTTATTATTGGCATTATGTTGTCCGAGGCTAGTTTATAAAAAACTCGTTATTAATTTCCATTTTACTTTGTTCTACATTATCAACATCCATTGGTTGATTTTGGGTTTTATTATTATTGTTCTGATTTTTCTGTCCAAAACTATTATTTCTACTAAACTGACTAGATTGATACTGATTATTGCTATCGTATTTTCGGTTTTGAATTTGGCCATTGCTATAATTCTGATTATTATTTTGTCTTTGATTTCCATAATATGGATTAAACTTATTGACACGAAAGTCAGCATTATTTTGTCACTTGTCACTTTTACTTTTACTATTGCGACTTAATCTAAATTCATTCTTAATACAATAATTTTCATAATTAATATAAATCATTTTATCAATCATACCGTTAAAAGTTGTGACTTCCTGTAATGCATATAGGAGAGTTCCTTGCACCAT